AAAAAACAGTTCCATTATCCCATAAAATTCAATTACTGCCTTCACAGCTAATCCCTTTCTTTCCCCAAGGTATGATGATTTCTTTCACCATAGATTAGTTTTATCTGTTTAGAATTTCACATAAATGGAAATCATGTCTAACCTCTTTTGCTCAGCATAAAGACTTTGAAATTCATTTATATATTAATAGTTCATTTCTTTGTGTAACTGAGTAATATTCCATAATATGGATATACCACATTTGATTATTCATCTGTTGATGGATGTTTGGGTTGTTTCCAATTTGGGGCCATTTTGAATTAAACTATTATGAACACTCTTGTGCAAGTCTTTATGAATGTATGGTTTCATTTCTCCTGGGTAAACACCCAGAAGTGGAATGACTGGGTCATGGGTAGATATGTAATTTTTTTGTAAATAATTATTTTACTGAGCTTTATTTTATTTATTTATTTTTTATTTAAATTTGACCAGAGAGGGATAGAGAGAGGAAGGAAAGTGAGAAAGTAAGCTGTTGGGCCCAGGACTCGAACCATGATTGGCCATGTGGGAGTCCAGCACTTAACCACCACACTACTTGCTACCCCCAAATATGTATTTAACTTAATAAAAAACTGCAGAACAATTTTCTAAGACTGCTTTTTTTTTTTTTTTTTAATATTTCTACTAGCATTGAATGAAGATTCTAGTTATTCACAATGCTTGTTAGTGAAGGAGTAAAGTGTATGCCACCCTCAATATGCCGCACTGGGATATTGACTGTTTTGAGTTAAAGGCATCTTTAAAACAGCAAGTGCAGGGCCAGCAAGTGACATGGAGATTAAGGCAGCTGGATCCCACATGACTGACTGCGGTTCAAGTCTCAGACAAGTGGCTTGCAAAGTATGTCAGGTGCAGTGCATGGATGCATGCCCAAAACCCTGAGAGGAGAATGAAGAAGGGATTATAGCATGGCTGTCTGTCCTTGGCAGTGCTTTTTCATTTTCCCTCCCTCCCTCTCCAGCAAGCTCAGTGCCCTATAGCAAAAATAAGAAAAGAAATTTGCTCTTTTGTTGAGTTACCTTACAACATTTAATTCTCTGGCCCAGGAGAAAAAGCCTAAGAGGTCAAAGGTAAAATTTTGCCTTTCATATCTTTGCACCTGATGTTTTATCCATCTTTTTCATTTTAGCCATTCTGTTAGGTCCGTAATGGTATTTCAATGGTTGTCTTTTGTATTTCCCTGATGTTGAGCATCTTTTTATGTGTAATTGGCTATTCTCATGTCCTCCTTTGTGAAGTGCTCATTTAAAAAAAAATTATAAAACTCAATTTTAAATTGTCCATTTAAAAATTCATTTTTGGGGGGAGGAGAGAGATTTTTACTATAGGGCGCTTGTGCTCACCAGAGAGACAAACAGAAAGCAAGAAACACCCGCCAGAGAGGATGGCCATACTACAATCCCTTCTCTATTCTCCTCGGGATTTGGGGTACACATGCACATGCTCCCAGCGTGAGTATCAAGCTGCCAGTTCCAGAACTCAAGTCATGGCTGACTACATGGGGGTCCAGTGACATAACCATTATGCTATCAGCTGTTTCCTGAAAATTCATATTAAAAATAGTTTTTCAAATTATTGAGTTACTGAAGTTCTTAAATATTCCAAATGTATAGTCCTTTTCAAATACACATATTGAGATTTTTTTTCTCATTTATAGGTCACTTGTTCATTTTTAAAAATAGTATCTTTTGATGAGAAGTTTTTAATTTTGGTGAATTTTAATTTAATTTTTAAAGACTTTGATCTTTCTATTGTATCTAAGAGATATTTATTTACTTTTAGGTCATGAAATTTTTTTTCTAAATTTTGCATTTTAGCTGTTATACTTCTTGGTAATGCTAACTTTTAAGATTCTTTTAAAATGCACATAACAAAAAAAAAATTCTTCGTAATTCACTCAAATGCCTCCTATAGTGTACCATGTATTGTGTACTCTAAGTGGGTAGAATATAAACCATTAAGAGATTTTTTTAGATCAATTCGAATATTGATTTTTGTTGTTCCTAAAGTGGTGAAGAGCCATAATCCAGAACAGTGGTTCAGAGTTTAGTTGAGCTATTCATCAGTCTTGAAATTGTTAAAAAGATTATTGGACTTACTCCCTTTTGTTTCAAGGTAGGTTTGGAAGTCTCTATACACTAGAAAAGTCCTCAATGCTTAACCAAACTTTAAGGCCAAGCCACCTACCGTCTTCTCAGTCAGAGGGCAGTACAATGTTAATGCAAATGATCGGTTGGATTTTAATCTCTATGCTGTTAACTACCAGTGCCTTTTACTTTTACTGTCCTTTGAATTAGTTAATTAAAAAGTCCGGGGGAGTGGAAGCCCACTGGAGAATTTTACTAAATATTGTATTGCAATGGGCAGAACAATAAAATATTTCAGAACAGGAATCAATTGCACTGAGTGCCTTCAGACTGCAAGAGGAATTTGCAGCAAGTCTTCCCAGACAGGAAGTTTGTTGTTTTTATAGTTCTACCGAGAGGTTTTGCTAGGACCCTTACTTGGCTGATAATTAAACATGAAACTTCTCATTGGGTGTTTTCAAGAGTACCACAAGGAATCAGCTGCCAGCTTATTGCAAAGTGGAAAACTGCTCCAGATTCCGGGATTGGAATCAAAATGCTAATTTAAAAGGTCAAGTGGAGCTACGGCTCACGTTTTGGCTCACGTTTTGGCGTGCCTGCGCTCTCTGCAGGCAGAAGCAGACAAAGACCCAGCCTGGAGGCGGCGGAAGCCAAGACCCGTCCCGTATCTGTTTTCCTGAAATAATTTTGGAATCATGCCTGAAATGCCGGAGGATATGGAGCAGGTAAGAAAGAGCTAGCGATTCATGAAATGAAACATTCTAGAATGAGTTGTTGTAAGAGCGTTCCAGTGAACGCTGGTAAAAACAGAATAGGTGTGTAAAGAAAATAAAAAAGGTATCATTCATTTCCTTAAAACTTAACCTTAGGGCATAGAAAAATAAACCAACTTTAGTTGCTGATTCAAGGAATCAGATTATGAAGAGCCCAGCCAAGTCTCATTTGGCGAAAATAAATGCAGAACAAGAATGCCATTTACCAGATTAGGTCTACTGAAACATGTATGTGGAGATTTTATATAAATAAGGATTTTACCTGTAGCTGTGGGCTCCAGCCTTCGTATGAATTGAACGTGCTAACATAACTTTTAGTTCCCGGCTGCTCCCCTTAAATATAGACTCCGCGCTCACACCGAGTTGGATACTCTGTGTAAGGATGGCGTTTGCTTCCCACAGACTTTGCTATCGTTCAAGAAAGTGATTAAAAACCGTATCTAAACATATGCCTCTAGAACTGTACCCGGCTTTCACCGGGCAAGTATCAAACCAGATTCTCAAATATAGGCAAGAAAACTTTTTTGTTCCTCATTCAAGGCAGCTCTGAGAATCAAAATGCTAATTGCCGGTGCCTGATCCTGAATCTTCTTCACGTCGAGCACTTACTTTTCTTTCCACACGTGGTAACTAGACATTTTAAACGGAATTCCCGGGTACTGTGAAAGGATTAAGAGGACCTTGCATCTGCTTCCCCGACCCTGAGCCCTCCCTGGCCCTTTTCTTTGTAGTCTCCGGATTATGGTCGTTAGTGCCAGGGCAGTCCTTTTAAGGAATCCCGAATGAACGCTGAACTCATGAACTGCCACAGTCTGGATTAAAACTGAGCAAAACAAAAAGTCGAAAAGTGGGGCCCCCATATTTTTCCGGTTACCCTTCCAAAGAAATATTCATGTTTATACGAATAAGGAAATTAGTCCCTCGGGGGTTGGGAAGAAAGGGCACAGGACTTCGACATAGAAAAACACAAGGGTTGCTTAAATTTTCAGCTTGAAGATAAACCGAAAAGGATTTTGAAAATAAGGCCTTAGGAAAATCCAAGCAGTGGTTACATCTGTGGGCGATTCTTGGGTGTCTTGGACAAGAAGAACTCGAGGGCTGTTGGGTGAAAGGTCGGCCAGTCCTGCAAGGTCTGTGCTGGGCTTTTTGGGTTTCTTTTTCTGCGTTAGGTTTCACCAGCATCCTGGCTGGCGGAGACTTCTCGCGGTTTTGAACTGGCAAGGAAGATCATTTGGGTTCTAGGTCGACCTCAACACTTGAGGCTGTTGTTTCTGATTTACTTAAACAAGCGATTCAGGTGTTGGCACGCTCAGCCTCCTGAGCGCTCTTTGGCTTCTCTAACCTTTGGGGATGCCAAGACTGCTCCTGCAGCCCGGCGTGCTGCCCCTTTAAAGGTGGTCTTGGCTCCTGATAAACCCTCTGAAAAAGAGTTCTGCAGATCCTCCACCACCACCACCACCACCACCACCACCGTTTCTCATTATGTAATTATAGGTAGAGTCCAAGAATCTGCATATTGAGAAGGTACACAGACTGTTAATTCACTCTCCCCTCCCCACACCTTTTTAATGAGTTAAAAATAGTTTCAGGGGTTTGAAATTTTACACATACCATTTTTTAACATCTCAGAAACACAAATGAATTCCTGAGTTGTTAATGACTCAGATACCAACGCTTTAATTTATATTCCTTGTCTCTTTCCAAACCCCTCACAGACAACACCTAAGGCTCTTAGGGATATTTTCCGTTGTGCTTTCTTACCCCTTCCTCGACTTTAACATGTTTTATTCTGCTTTGTATGTTAAACGTGCCTAGTTAGTTCTTATGCATTGCGCATATTCTGCATACTTGAAATTCTAGACGATCTAGTTCATTCCATCTCCAGTTAAGAGGAAGAAGGATGCAAAGTAAAGCACCCGAATAACCAAAACCTCTAAATTAAAACTTGCATTCCTCGCTTACGGTCAGGGCTTTTGTTTTGTGTATCTCTTTAAGACTTGGCGCGTGAGCTGGGAGAGTCCCACGCGTGCCCGCCCCCATTCTGGGGCGTCGGCAGAGCGTGGCCAATCGACGGGCGCGATTAGGGCGGCGGAAGCCGGAAGCGGTGCGCGGGGGTCGACCAGGGCCTAGGGGAGGCGGGCCGAGGGCTGCTTGGTTGCGGCCCGCGGCGGTCGTAGGCAGGAGGAGGTGGCCCTCGCGGCGGCGGCCGCAGCGCGAAGACGGCGGGCATGGTGGGGCGGGAGAATGAGCTCTCCATCCCCTTTGTTCCCGGGAGCTGTCGGCTGGTGGAGGTGAGAGAGTTGACCCGGGGGTCTCCTTCGGGAACCGGGGGCGCTGAGGGGAACAAGCCGTGTCCGCAGGGACTCTGGTGGTTTATCCAGCCCGGGTCGGAACCTCCCGCCCGGAGTCGCCGCTGCGCGGCTTTCCCAGCCCGGACGCTGAGGGCGGCGCCACCGAGTTTGTTTACCTCGGCGGACACCCAGCAGTATTTTCTCTTCCAGCCGCTGCGGCAGGAAGCAAGTAGGTCGAGGTTTCACTTTGTAGTTCTCGGTCTCTGCTTGTTTCTGTTTTGATTGTTTTGTTTTCTGGTTACTTCGGGATTTTTTCGTATTCTTCGTTTTTCTAAGTTCGTTGCTTTGAGAAGGGAGAAAGGTGGCATTTCAGAAATAACAGTATTGGAGATGACATCTTAATTTGTAGAGGCAATTTTATGCATTTTTGCAGGCATATTACTTTAATTCTCGTAACTGTGAGATACTGTTATTGCTCCACTTTACAGATAAGAAAACAGGCAGAGAGTGTGAGACACTGGCCCAAGTTCATTCAGTAAGCAATTCAAATACAGATCTTCTTTTGAATGAAGGGAGACTTAAATGCTTGAGAGATACGTCCCTTGTATTTTTCCATCTTCTCCACTCAGTTTCACTCCCCCCAGCATTCATCATCCAGAATATAGCCAGCATTGGGGATGAGAAGACGGCTAATGCCCAGACCATTGACCCAGTGGATGTAAGAGAACTGTAGAAAAGGACTGTTTGGATAAGTCAATATTTTTATGCTTGCGAGATATGATGTAGTTAGTGTTTTCAAATCATTTTGGAACTTTGAGGGTAATGGTAGGCTAAGTGGGCTATTTAAATGTTTAGTTCCTGTGCTCAAACAGTGAAGAATGCATATTACACACTGTTCACTTTTGTGAATATGCACACATCTCTGTAAAGGTGTATGGATAAAGCGTTATGTACTTTCACAGAAAGAGTTCAGTAAAGAAATGAAAATGGCTTTTTCTGTTTTCATTCATTAAAAATCATACAACTAAGAGCTTGGCATGTACTTCTTGCTTTCTCAAAATCTGTGGAATTAAAACTCACTGATGAGAACAAGAACTATTTTATATCATTAGTTAAAGAAGTAGTTTATAGTAGTTTCTGTTAGTGATACTGTTTGTGGAGTAAATAGAGCATCAGAAGGAGTTAGATCAAGCTAATCTATGTAAGTGGTCATGGACTCTTAAAAAGTTTCTTCAAGCCCAGAGTGTCTGCTCAAAGATCTATTTCTGCGGTGATGTTGAGGATCAACTCAAAGTATGAAACTCCACCATGTCTAGTGGTTTCTAAAAATAGCCAAGTATTATATTGACTGTAAAATTTAAGATTTCTCTCCATATATTAGTGACATTTTACTTTTATAGAACATTTTCAGTAGAGATTAATGCAAGTATGCTGAAGATACCACTTTCCCAGTGTGTTGGACTGTAGCGAAAGAGCCATTTATCTTGCATTACTAGTACAATTTAGTGTCATTTCACTAGATAAAATAGTGAGAACAGTAATGCTGCATTTACAGTATTTAATTTTTTTCTAAAGAATTATTATTTATCTTTATGTATTTATCTTAATTTGACCAAAGAGGGACAGAGTGAAAGAGAGGGAGAAAGTGAGAAAGCAAGCTGCCTGGTCCAGGACCTGAACCTCAGTTGGCCATGTGGGAGTCCAGCACCCCCAACTACCACATCACCTGCCGCCCCTATATTTATTTAATTTTTAAAGAAAATTTGTCCTGTCTATAAATCTGATCACCTGGTTAAATTCCATACATCTAAGAGTTTATATAGTAAGAAGCAGATATGTTTAGAGAAACTTAACCTGATGTTTGGCCTCTTTTTTTTTTCTGTTTTGTTTTGTTTTATAATTTTATTTATTCATTCATTCATTTTAATTTGACCGGAGAGAGACAGAGAGAAAGTGAGAAAGCAAGCCTCCACATCCGGGACTTGAACTGTGGTCAGCCATGTGGGAGTGTCCAGCACTTTAACTACCACACCACCTGCTGGCCCCATGTTTGGCCTCTTATAATACAAATTAAGGAAGTAGGAAATAGTTTTCAGACAAAGTATTTCAGCTGTTTTTCTTTTTTTACAGTCTGGGTGAACTATACAGCTTTTTTATTGTTTCATTTTGAGTTCCTTGAAGTATTTGAACATTTTGTGTTCTGCTAGACTAAAATAACAGGGAGTTAAGGTCTTCAAAAGAAAAAAAAAAGAACAGTAAAACAGTCAGTGTACTTTAAAAAACTTCAAATCCTGGTTATATAGAAACTCAAAAATAAACATTTTTGTTTTGTACCTTTTAATTTCAGAGTGATGCATACTCTGTTTACCAGCTATCAATAAATGAAAAAATTATGTTCTCACTCCTATACAAATGACAGAAGGTGCTTTTTGAGTCTCTGGAGAGAACTTTTGGAAAGATGAAGTTATACCTTATTTAAATAAGTAAAGCTCTTTTCACCCTATTCGGACCCTTTGTGGTGGTGACAATATGGGAAATGTTAGAATTCTAGAACTTTAAAGTGGGAAATTTCCTTAGGCATTGTATCCATGCCTGATTTGATCTATATAGACTTACTTTCTCGATACCACAGTTTGTGACAGAGCAGATAAAATTAGACTCATTTTTGAAACCAATATAAGTTCAGAGGATTGAAACACTATTCATTGTGCTTGGGCAAGGTGGGGGTGTATTCAAAAAGTTCCTGACTGGAGCCAGCAGATCCATGGTAATTAAGGCACTGGCCTCCCATGTGGCCTACCATGGTTGGAATCCTGAAACCTGTACCTTAAAAATCAAGCCAGGTACATGTACATTGTGAGCCTGGAATCTGAGAGAATGGAGGAGAAATGATTGTGACTTAGACATCCCACATGGGAATGATTTCTCCCTTTCCTTCTCTGTCTTTCTGTGAGCACATGCACCCCATGGCAAAAATGTTTTAAAAAAAATTCATGGGAAATGCATATTGTGGAAAACCTGCATGAATTTTAAATTGTTTGGCACCAAAATGATCTCATACTTTACTTCCACTTTCCAGGAACTTTATTTAAAGTCTCTTTGTATTTGGTTTGACCATAGAAACAAAAAGAATTCAAGTTCTGGTGTCAGCTTTCTCCCTTTCATGGTGAACAAAACCTTAAACATATCTAGGCTTCAGATTCTTCACTCTGAAGTAATATCTTCCCTAAGGAGGCTGTAGGGTATGCCCTATATTGATACAACACTTGATAGTTTTCTTTTTTTCTTTTGTGCTCGTTGGAGAGAGACAGCAAGAAATCACCACCCAGGGGGATAGCCACACCGCAATCCCTTCTCCTCCATTCCTCTCTGGGAATTTTGGCCAGGTATGCACACATGCAGTGTCCAGAACTTGAATTGCTGTCGACTATGTGGGAGCCCAGCGACGTAATACACTGTCTGCTGGTCCCAACACTTGATAGTTTTCATATGCCGGGTTGTGGAGTATCATTGTCATTTCAGTAAATACTTGTATTTCAGATCCTAACTCTTTTTTTTTTTTTTTTTTTTGATCTTTCTCTTTTTTTTTTTTTTTTTTTTTAGGAGGTTTTTGCTATAGGGTGCTGTGTGCTTGCCAGAAAGACAGAGAAAGAGAGAGAGAGAGAAACAGAAAGCGAGAAATCACCCCCCAGGGGGGATGGCCACAACGCAATCCCTTCTACTCCATTCTCCTCAGGGTCTTGGGGGCACACACGCACTCATGCCCAGTGTGAGTTTAAGCCACCGGGTCAGGGACTCGAATTGCGGTCAACTAAATGGGAGTCCAGTGACATAGCCCTTACGTCAACTGCTGGTCCTGAGATTCTCTTTTAATAAAGGGAATTCTTGAGCATCGACATCTGACCACTGGACACTATGGACTGTTTAATACTTTTCTTCTGGGGACCTTATGTGTTCCCTCAGGGTAAGAGGATATAAAGTTATGTATTTTCTCCATGCAGCCCCAATCCATTTTTTAAGTGTACTATATTTCCTGAAGAACCTGTTGTTGAAAATTCACGCTTTATTTCATCAGGTCTAAAATGCTCTTGATTTTAAGATCATCTAGGCTCTCATTCTAAGATGTATTGAGGTAGCAAAAAGTACAGTTAAACTACGACACATTCGTAAGAGTCATTTTAGTCATTTCATTCATTTAACAGATGTTAAAATGAGAAAAAAGTGTGCTTCATGGTGTCAATGAAATATGCAGAGATCTTAATCACTACTTAGTAACCTTTGTGGATTTCGTTATAGTCTTACATTTAAAGTTTTCCTTTTTTATTTCTTTAGTTGCCAGTGAGAACATGCACTCATCAGAGAGAGAGAGGACCCTCCTCCCCATGGAGCGTGGTCACACTGCAGTCCTTTTTTTTTTTTTCCCTTCGTTTCTCCATCCCATCAGCATTTGGGATGCACATGCACCCAGCGTGTCTTTCAAGCCACAGAGGCAGGATTTGAATCATGGTTGGCTATGATCCAGCTTATGATACATACGCTTAACCACTACAGTGGGACCAGACCTCTTTTTTTTCCTTCTTTCTTAATTTATTACATCCATGAGAGGGTGTCCCCCAACAGGGTCTTCACACAAAATCCACCTCTAGCCTCAGCCAGCCTGGACCATGAGCATGTTCAAGAAAGTCCCAGGGCGTGAACGCAGGACTTTTCACATGTAGGTTCACTTGCATTACCATTTTACCACCACCTGACCCCTAGTTTTGTAAGGAAGAAAGATGTTGTCACTTCTATAATGTTGGCGTCTGCCCCGGGGCTTGGCTTGAGTTGAATTATGATTAGGGCGCTGATGGTGAGGATGAGAAAGAAAAAGTCTTTTATTTTGAGAGGACTGGGGAATTTAAAAAAATGAAATAGATAAAGTAAAAGTGGACACAGGTAGTTTGAGCCTAAGTAGCCCAAGCAACTTGTGTTATAACTTTAGCCGTCCAAACAAATTGGGCATTTTTATTTATCGTACAAGGCGACACTATGCATGTATATTTTATGACATTTTATAAATATGTTAATTTGTTACAAACAATAAAAAATAGGTAATAAGTTTATAAGGGTTTAGGCATACTGGATTAAGTGTATTCCTTTATAATTTTATTAAAAGAAAATCCCATTATCTTTTTTTAATGGAAAAGCGTAGCTAAAAGTGTGGGGGGGAGAAAACATAAAATTAAAAACATTTCTCCATAAAGTAAACACTACTACGCCTAAAGAAGGCTAAAAACTTTTACAAATACGGGGACCAGCAGTTGGCGAAATGGCTATGTCGCTGGACTCCCATGTAGTCGACTGCAGTTGGAGTCCCGGACCTGGTGGCTTAAACTCATGCCAACTGCTTGTGCCCAAGATCCCAAGAGGAGAATGGAGAAGGGATTGCGGTGCGTGCCCAAGATCCCAAGAGGAGAAGGGAGGAAAAGGGGTTGTGGCGTGGCCATCCCCCCTGGTGGGTGATTTCTCGTTTTCTGTCTGTCTGTCTGTCTCTGTCTATCTCTGTCTTTCTGGCGAGCGCACGCGCCCTGTAGCAAAAACCTCTAAAAAAAAATTTTGCAAATACAAAACAAAAATTAGACTTTACTAATGAAAGTTAAAATGTTTTCTAAATTCTATTAAATGTGTCTATTAAAACGCCCCTAGTAATTTCCACCCTTTACCTTCAACAAATGTCAAAAAAAGGACACTATACTAAGTTTTGCCAAAACCCAAAAGGACAAATAGTGTTTACTCAAAGCATATCCTCACACCTTACTCAAAGCCCCTCCATAAGTATGTCCCTACACTATATGGGCAATTTTTTTGTTTGTTTTTAATAAGAGAACTGGTTCATAGAAAAGCCTTGGACTTTCTTCAAGTTCAAACATACAGCGGTTCCCAAAGCACAGTCTAAATCATCATGATCAACATTATCTGGGATCTTGTTAGGGATGTACATTATCAGGCCTCAGCCCAAGTCGACCAGATTGTTAGGGATTTACATTGTCAAACCTCACCCCAAGTTTACAGGTGATTCTGATCCACCTTGAAGATGGAGAACCACTGACCTAGAAAACTGTTACTCAATCATTTTCTTCTCTAGTGACAGCAAAGACATTTGTTAGATCTTCTAGTTAGTTCTTAGTATATTCAGATATATCTTAAATTAACTAAAATGTCATGAGTGATTTAATTGAACTATCTTAGAATCCAGTAGGTTAGCCTGTTCAAGTATTGGTCATGCTCTTTTAAAACCAAAGTCAAAAGCTTACCTATTATTTTGCTGAAATTCTTGGTTAGCTCCATGATACAGCTGTAATGTACTGCCCCAGAAAAGCCAGGTTTCACATGGGAACCGCTGTCCCAATCCCTGGCCCTTGTCTGCCTGAGACAAATGCCTACAATCCAGTAGGCTGGAGGAAGGGGCCCACACCATAATCAGACTTTATGGAGTGTGTTCTCATCCACCCCTGCCTCCTACATCTGTATGCACTATACCATGAATTGGTGGGGCGAGGGAGGGGGTGAGAAACCTAGAAGAAACCAAATAAGATAGCTTTTATAGTATTTTCCAAGGAATTTTACAGGAGTTACCCTGTGTAAATTGTTTTCTGATTGTATCTCTGTAAGACTTGGCATGTTTTTCCTCTTTACAATTCAGTATTTGTAGAGCTGTTTTCCTGCCAAAATTCAAAGAAAATATTTCGCTGGTGAAATTTCCTTGTTTTCATCGATCATTTGGCTTAGAGCCAGATGTTACAACAGTCTCTCTCAAATTTCTTTCAATTTTAAGAATTTATCTTTATACCATCTTTGCCTATCAGCTCTTTCATTTTTCATTTTTCATGTGCTGAAATACCCGATTTGGGTGACTTTTTGCTTAATGTATATATATTATTTTAATCAAACTAAAGATTAAAAAAGAAACTACTTTGATTATTGTATACATATTTAAAGTTCTTGACATGTCAGAATTATGTGACTATAACATTTGAAATAAGGCCTGAAGTTGGTAAAATTTAATAAAGTTTTTTTTATTCAATAGTGAGAGTTGGCTTTATCCAAGAGTCTGGGAAGAAACATGGTGTTAGTCATGTTGGAGAAAAGAGAAAATTTAGAAACTATACCATTTAAACAGAATTAAAGTTTTTTCCCAAAATAATGGTATATTAAAATTTCTGTGTAAGGAAATTTTTGTTCCTTATAATGGCAACACAGATCAATTTAAAATATTTTATTTTTCTCTTACCTTTAACTGTGTTTATTAGTTTTAAATACTCTCTTTTTAAAGAATTATTTATGCATTTATTTATTTATTTTAATTTGACCAGAGAGGATGGTTCAAGTCCCAGACCGGGCGGCTTAAAACTCGTGCCAGGCACATGTGCATGCGTGTCCAAAAGAGAGGAGAATGGAGAAAAAGATTGCAGTGTGGCCATCCTCCCTGGGGGGGGAGGGGGGGCGATATCTCACTTTCTGTCTTTATGTCTGTCTCTGGTGAGAGCATGTGCCATGTAGCCAAAAAAAAAAAAAAAAGTATTAAAACTGTTCTTAAGTGATGCAGTTGTTACAGTTTAATTAACTTTTGTTCTAACTTTAAAATGATTTGGGGGCCAGCAGAGGGGTGTGGTCGTTAAGGTGCTGGGCTCCCACATGGCTGACCACAATTCTAGCAACTTAAAAATTACACCGGGCTCATGTGTATGTGTACTCAAGGTCTTGAGAGGAGTATGGGAGAAAATAACCATCGCCCCATGGTGAGTGATTTCTCACTTTCCTTTTCTCTGGTGAGTCTACACATCCTATGGCAAAAATCTTTTAAAAAGGCTTAAATAACATGAATCAAACCACTTAGATTTGAGGTATTTAGTGAAAAATGATGGTGACTAATTTCTTTGAATCATTTTCAAAGTAAATTGCTTTTCCCCTTCACCTTCTAGGAGGAAGTTAACATCCCTAATAGGCGCGTTCTCGTTACTGGTGCCACTGGGCTTCTCGGCAGAGCCGTATATAAAGAATTCCAGCAGAATAACTGGCATGCTGTTGGCTGTGGTTTTAGAAGAGCAAGACCAAAATTTGAACAGGTTAACCTATTGGATTCCAATGCAGTTCATGAAATCATTCATGATTTTCAGGTATGGTTTAGTGCACTTATTTGAACGTGAACTCTATTAGGAACTGTCTGGATAATATAACATGTGCTTGTTCCTAAGAAAGGTACTGTACTTGAAAACTGTACCCTGTTAAGCAGCAACAATATATGGTACTTTTTTTTTTCCAGCATGACAGAGTATATGTAATCTCTAAAAAAGACGAGGTGAGGGGCCAGCTCCCACGTGACTGACCATGGTGCTCTCTCTTTCTCTCTCGCGTGCTTTCTCTTTCTCTGTCCCTCTCTGGTCAAATTTAAACAGTTAAATAAAGTCTTAAAAAAAAGATCAAGTGAGACATAGATTGAAAAAGAAATGTGAGGCATTATTTTTAAAACTTGTGTTTATGGAATGCCTTATAAGTAACACTTCTTATTCAATTTTTTATTATTATTATTATTATAGGTATAGGTAAACTGTACAGCATGGCAGACTACATATCATCTCCATTTCAAAACATTAAAGTAGGCTCAGAGAAGAAGACCAAGGTCACAGAAAAGTTGCAGAAAAATTTAGGTATTCTCCCTCTGATCACATCTGAAGCCCAAGTTTTTGTTGGGATAGGGCATTGTGGTTGTCAGACAGAAAAGGGGGAACCAGAGGGGTGGGCCACACTGCAGTTTTTTCTCTTTCATTCTTCTCTCTGGATTTTGGGCACTCACACACGTGCCTGGCATGTTTTTCAAGTTGTCAGATCTAGGACTCAGTCCTCACAGCCATGTGGGATCTACCTTTACTACTACACCACGGGCTGGCCCCTCAGGTTCTTTCTGAAAGTGTAGTCCATGGAGCATACACATCAGAATCACTTGGAAAACTTTTTCTCAGGCCTGACTTCCAGAGGTTTTATATAATTCAGTAAATCTGAGATTCAGCCCAGGATGCTGCATTTTTAGAAGCATCCCAGTTTGTAAACAACTCTTAGATCGTATTTCCTTAAGTAGTGTTGAGATGGAGAAAACTAGGCTACGTACACTAGCTCTTTCTGTTGGAGGTCTTAGCTCTGGCTTGGCTCCTCTGGGAACTGGGTACCCGTTTTTTATAATGGGCTCCTTACATTTCTGTCTTCCTCTAGATTGTGACACAGTGCCTGTCAATCAGTAGCATACTAAATGCTCAACTGGGAATATAATTTTGTAGGTAGTTGATTTTCTTTCAGTGATTGGTTGAAGAGATTTAAATTTAGGAATTTAATTTGTAGTTGAAATTAGTCTTCCTCTGACATAGACTACAGTATTTAGCTCATTTTACCTATCTAAATAACTCTTTCCATCCAAATTAGGAAGCAAAGTTTACTTTGATTTAGAAATACAGTAGTTGACATGGAGTTTTTCCTAATATTGTCTTATAATTTACTAAGTTGCTCTTTTCCACTGAGGGTAGTATTTATATACATACATATATATGTATACATATGTATATAAAATATGTATATATGTATACATGTGTGTATACATGTGTATATATATGTATATAAAATATTACCCTCAGAAAAGAACAACTTAGTTATATATATATGATATATCCTCATATATATTTTTATATATATATACACACACATGTGTGTGTGTATACATACATATATAATTTTTACAAAGTTCATACTTTTCAGGACCTGCAGATGATGTAATGGTTATGTTGTTCGATTCCCATGTTGTCTACCACAGTTTAAGTCTTGGACCCAGCAGCTTGAAACTCAATGCCCAGGCATACCCAAAATCCCAAGAGGAGAATAGAGAAGGGATTGCAGCATGGCTATACCCAAAGAAAGAAAGAAAAAAAAAAGTCTAGACTTTGAGAAGAAATAAATGACAGACCTACATTAAAAATTACAATATTTATTCTTTTTTGCGGGGGAGGGAGAGATTTTTGCTATAAGGCACATCTGCTTGCCAGAGACAGAAAAAAAGTGAAAAATTACCACCACCCTCTCGGCCAGATGGCCACACTACAGTCCCATCTCTGTTTTCCTCTCAGGATTTTGGGCAGACATGTGCACATGCCCGGTGTGATTTTCTAGCCATCAGGTCTGGGACTTGAACTCTGGTCAGCCATATAGGAATCTAGCACCTTAACCACTGTGCCACCTACTGGCCCACAATAGTTTCTTTTTTCTTTTTCTTTTTCTTTTTGAGAGAAAGCAAGAAACCATCCCCCAGGGGAGATGACAGTACTGCAGTCCTTTCTCCATTCTCCTTTCAGGATTTTGGGCACACACGTACGCACACATGCCCGGTGTGAGTTTAAGCCACCTGGTCCAGGACTCAAACCATGGTTGACCCACATGGGAGTCCAGCGATGTAGCCGTTATGCTATGTGTTGGTCTGCACAATGGTTTATTCTTAATGTAAGACATATTGGTTTTGTTCCCCCCACTACCACCACCCTACTCCATTTCATGGAGGATGAAGAAGGTAGAAGACAGATAGGTATTTTTAACAGTTTACCTTGTCACCATCATTCTGCCTGAGCCTTCTAGTTAACTGGGATTACAGGTGCATTCAGACATGCATGGTGTGTTCAGATTGACCAAGGAACTGAATCTGGGCTTCCCATGTGGCTTCTAGTCTCCCAGATGTAAATAACATGAATCAAACCACTTAGATTTGAGGTATTTAGTGAAAAATGATGGTGACTAATTTCTTTGAATCATTTTCAAAGTAAATTGCTTTTCCCCTTCACCTTCTAGGAGGAAGTTAACATCCCTAATAGGCGCGTTCTCGTTACTGGTGCCACTGGGCTTCTCGGCAGAGCCGTATATAAAGAATTCCAGCAGAATAACTGGCATGCTGTTGGCTGTGGTTTTAGAAGAGCAAGACCAAAATTTGAACAGGTTAACCTATTGGATTCCAATGCAGTTCATGAAATCATTCATGATTTTCAGGTATGGTTTAGTGCACTTATTTGAACGTGAACTCTATTAGGAACTGTCTGGATAATATAACATGTGCTTGTTCCTAAGAAAGGTACTGTACTTGAAAACTGTACCCTGTTAAGCAGCAACAATATATGGTACTTTTTTTTTTCCAGCATGACAGAGTATATGTAATCTCTAAAAAAGACGAGGTGAGGGGCCAGCTCCCACGTGACTGACCATGGTGCTCTCTCTTTCTCTCTCGCGTGCTTTCTCTTTCTCTGTCCCTCTCTGGTCAAATTTAAACAGTTAAATAAAGTCTTAAAAAAAAGATCAAGTGAGACATAGATTGAAAAAGAAATGTGAGGCATTATTTTTAAAACTTGTGTTTATGGAATGCCTTATAAGTAACACTTCTTATTCAATTTTTTATTATTATTATTATTATAGGTATAGGTAAACTGTACAGCATGGCAGACTACATATCATCTCCATTTCAAAACATTAAAGTAGGCTCAGAGAAGAAGACCAAGGTCACAGAAAAGTTGCAGAAAAATTTAGGTATTCTCCCTCTGATCACATCTGAAGCCCAAGTTTTTGTTGGGATAGGGCATTGTGGTTGTCAGACAGAAAAGGGGGAACCAGAGGGGTGGGCCACACTGCAGTTTTTTCTCTTTCATTCTTCTCTCTGGATTTTGGGCACTCACACACGTGCCTGGCATGTTTTTCAAGTTGTCAGATCTAGGACTCAGTCCTCACAGCCATGTGGGATCTACCTTTACTACTACACCACGGGCTGGCCCCTCAGGTTCTTTCTGAAAGTGTAGTCCATGGAGCATACACATCAGAATCACTTGGAAAACTTTTTCTCAGGCCTGACTTCCAGAGGTTTTATATAATTCAGTAAATCTGAGATTCAGCCCAGGATGCTGCATTTTTAGAAGCATCCCAGTTTGTAAACAACTCTTAGATCGTATTTCCTTAAGTAGTGTTGAGATGGAGAAAACTAGGCTACGTACACTAGCTCTTTCTGTTGGAGGTCTTAGCTCTGGCTTGGCTCCTCTGGGAACTGGGTACCCGTTTTTTATAATGGGCTCCTTACATTTCTGTCTTCCTCTAGATTGTGACACAGTGCCTGTCAATCAGTAGCATACTAAATGCTCAACTGGGAATATAATTTTGTAGGTAGTTGATTTTCTTTCAGTGATTGGTTGAAGAGATTTAAATTTAGGAATTTAATTTGTAGTTGAAATTAGTCTTCCTCTGACATAGACTACAGTATTTAGCTCATTTTACCTATCTAAATAACTCTTTCCATCCAAATTAGGAAGCAAAGTTTACTTTGATTTAGAAATACAGTAGTTGACATGGAGTTTTTCCTAATATTGTCTTATAATTTACTAAGTTGCTCTTTTCCACTGAGGGTAGTATTTATATACATACATATATATGTATACATATGTATATAAAATATGTATATATGTATACATGTGTGTATACATGTGTATATATATGTATATAAAATATTACCCTCAGAAAAGAACAACTTAGTTATATATATATGATATATCCTCATATATATTTTTATATATATATACACACACATGTGTGTGTGTATACATACATATATAATTTTTACAAAGTTCATACTTTTCAGGACCTGCAGATGATGTAATGGTTATGTTGTTCGATTCCCATGTTGTCTACCACAGTTTAAGTCTTGGACCCAGCAGCTTGAAACTCAATGCCCAGGCATACCCAAAATCCCAAGAGGAGAATAGAGAAGGGATTGCAGCATGGCTATACCCAAAGAAAGAAAGAAAAAAAAAAGTCTAGACTTTGAGAAGAAATAAATGACAGACCTACATTAAAAATTACAATATTTATTCTTTTTTGCGGGGGAGGGAGAGATTTTTGCTATAAGGCACATCTGCTTGCCAGAGACAGAAAAAAAGTGAAAAATTACCACCACCCTCTCGGCCAGATGGCCACACTACAGTCCCATCTCTGTTTTCCTCTCAGGATTTTGGGCAGACATGTGCACATGCCCGGTGTGATTTTCTAGCCATCAGGTCTGGGACTTGAACTCTGGTCAGCCATATAGGAATCTAGCACCTTAACCACTGTGCCACCTACTGGCCCACAATAGTTTCTTTTTTCTTTTTCTTTTTCTTTTTGAGAGAAAGCAAGAAACCATCCCCCAGGGGAGATGACAGTACTGCAGTCCTTTCTCCATTCTCCTTTCAGGATTTTGGGCACACACGTACGCACACATGCCCGGTGTGAGTTTAAGCCACCTGGTCCAGGACTAAAACCATGCTAGACACACATGGGAGTCCAGCGATGTAGCCGTTATGCTATGTGTTGGTCTGCACAATGGTTTATTCTTAATGTAAGACATATTGGTTTTGTTCCCCCCACTACCACCACCCTACTCCATTTCATGGAGGATGAAGAAGGTAGAAGACAGATAGGTATTTTTAACAGTTTACCTTGTCACCATCATTCTGCCTGAGCCTTCTAGTTAACTGGGATTACAGGTGCATTCAGACATGCATGGTGTGTTCAGATTGACCAAGGAACTGAATCTGGGCTTCCCATGTGGCTTCTAGTCTCCCAGATGGTGTCACTATCTGTATGTGTCTGGGCCAGAAATATTAACTTAACATTTTTTTGTGAATTAATTTACTGTAGAAAGGCTGTAGTTCTTTTCATTTTATTTTATTTGAGTTAAAATACATCAATGCTTCACTTCCAGCCCCATGTCATAGTACATTGTGCAGCAGAGAGAAGACCAGATGTTGTAGAAAATCAACCAGATGCTGCTTCTCAACTTAATGTGGATGCGTCTGGGAATTTAGCAAAGGAAGCAGGTAATAATGACTTTATAAAATCTTCATAAAATATTAAGTAATCACTGAGTTTTTAAAGACTAGGATTTTGTAGATCGCTTATAAAAGGTTTGTTTTTGTGTGTTGTGAAGAATAAGTTATTCTAAATTCCACTAAAGATTAATGTCTCGTAAAAATTTAATATTCTTCCCCTTTTTTGTAGCTACAATTGGAGCATTTCTCATCTACATTAGCTCAGATTATGTATTTGATGGAACAAATCCACCTTACAGAGAGGAAGACATACCAACTCCTTTAAATTTGTATGGCAAAACAAAATTAGAAGGAGAAAAGGCTGTCCTGGAAAACAATCTAGGTAAGATAAAATCTCTAACCCCTGCTTGTTTTTGAGGACTCCTTTTTGTTTATGATAGGAGATCTGTGTGTGTGTGTGTGTGTGTGTGTGTCGGTGTTTGATTTAAAACAGTCAAGGAATACAATTATTAGAGAAAAATTAGAGACTATAGTTAATCAAAAGAAAAATAAGAATCTTAAAAATCCTTCTAGACTGTTCACTGCTGTTGTATACATATACATCTTTATATGTAGAAAACAAATTATAGAGTGCAGATTTTTATAATCTTTGTAAAAATAGGGCATTATCTCTTAGAGTGAGGTATTTCCTTAGATCAAGATATTCTGACATATGTCTGGCTTTTCTCTTGTGTATATTTGTTTATATGTACACATACTTTTAGTATGCCTTCCTTGGGAAAACAAGGAATTTAAAATTATGAAGAATGAAAATTCTCTTTAAGTGCTACCTCAGAGATAAGTACCAGGAACCAGCAGTTAGCGAAATGGCTATTTCACTGGACTCCCACGTGGTCGACCGCGGTTCGGCTCCCGGACCTGGTGGCTTAAAACTCACGCCCGGCGCATGTGTGTGTGTGCCCAAGATCCCGAGAGGAGAATGGAGGAGAAGGGATTGCGGCGTGACCATCCCCCCTGGGGGGTGATTTCTCGCTTTCTGTCTCTATGTCTCTCTCTGTCTGTCTGGTGAGCGCATGCGCCCTATAGCGAAAAGCTT